TGCAAGTAAAATTCTAATGATGGTTACTGGTATGGTGTCAGACTCAATGAATATCATCTAGTATTATTACTGTTGTCACTTTTTGCCATATGATTATTATTATTCAGACTACATCAAGGTTGGTTGCTAACTATTAATTTATAGGTTTTTTCAGTCGGGCCAACCCCCTGCACCATTGAGTCCTCCTTCCTGTCCTTCCTTTGTAAAATGAGGTGATTGATCAGGTTGATCTCCAAGAATCCTCCCAATTATAAAATACCTGCGTTATTTTTAGTAGAACTTTAAAACCAAAATTTCTTCAGCTAAACACTCTGGAATCTTAACTGTTGAATTATAATGCATAATATATAGCAAAGTCATTTTTTCCAAAGTGGGAATGCAGAATAAGGATGTTACTGATATTGAGAAACTGTCATACATTAAATACCACTTAATAGTTACTATTTAAGGGAATAAATCAAAATTTCCTGGAAACCAGGTTAGCATAATATGGTAGTACAAGACATCTAGCATAAAATATACAACTGTAGGTTTTCTAAAACTTGCAACATCCTCTGAATCAGTGGTTCTCAAAGTACTGTTGCCAGACTGGCAGCATTAGCATTAGCTGGGGTACTCATTAGAAATACAAATCTCAAGGCCTCACTTCAGACCCACTGTGTCAGAACCTCTGCAGGCAGGTGCCAGTAGTCTGTGTTGTAATAAGCCCTTCCAGTGATATTGCTAAAGATTGACAACCATAGGTCTAAGCAACTAAATGGCAAAGCAAGGTCTGCTTCTGATAAACATTTACTGAAGCAGCTGAAACTGAAATTAAATCTCGCCTTAGAAGACATCTAAGCTCTGCTAAAGATCATTAAAAGTCAAGTTACCAATCAACTGACAGAAAGAAGGGTTAAGAAGCCATTATCAGTGATTCCCACTAGAGAAATAAGGTATTAAGAAGGTTAAAGCCAAGTCCAGTAAAGTCATCAGAGATTATCAGTGCAATGATTCCTCCTTAGCATAGAGAACCAGAGGTTCTCTGTGCTGTCTCCTATGGGAAAGAAATAAGCTATTACTCTTCTCATTAAAAAACAAAACAAAACAAAATTTAGCACCCTGATTTATCAAGGTCTACAGTAAATATGGAAGAAAATATTTAATGATCTATGCCCATCTATTTATCTAGCAAGACCTAGATCTTTTCGTTAAGTGCTGCAGTAAGAAAATTGTTTAATATACTAAAAATCACAAATCTTTAAACCATGTATAAGGTCAAGAAGAAGAAAAATCAGTATCAGAACTGCAGGAAAACAAAGTGATTTTATTTGCTTCAATGTCCTCCTTATCATCTACATAACAATTCCAGATCCCTTTCTTAAATCCAACATATCTAATTAACTCCTAGGTACTAAAATGAATAAATCAAAAAAACTATTTATGTCTAATTTGGTCCCATAAGTCTTTTCTCATAGGCTTTATCTCAGTTAATGGTGTTCCTTTTTTCAAGGTATCAACCCTTCAACATTCTTCCCCTTTTCCTTCAAGCTCTTCTGCCCTCTACCTACTAACATTTCGTATTTGCCAAATCCAGCTGATTTGACTTCATAATTTTCTGAGGATTCATTTTCTTTTCATCTTTTTAATTCTGACAGCCTTTATTCATATTCCCCTGATACTTTTCTTTTCTGTCTTTGGACCTTAGGACTCTTGAGAACAGAAACAATGTCTTCTCCTCAATGCCCAGCACAAGGCCTGGTAGAGCAGGCATCTGGACACTGTTCCCCAGTGAATGTCCTTAAGCGTAGACAAATTCATCCGAAATCTCACATCCCCAATGATCTGAGGAAGTCTTATGGGATCTTTTTTCCAGAGAAATAAGTTAATATGTGACAAATTTCTAAGAGTCTATTTTGAATACCCATTTCTCACATTTTTAAAAACTATTAAGTGTTCTAAAAATCAGATTTGGAATTTTTAATTAGAACCTCTTTCTTTATTCATTTTAGGATGTCACATTTATTTTGTCCGGTTGGATTATTGTTTTCAGGCTTTATCATTCAGCTTCAATGAGCTCAACAAAATGAATGACAACGTGTCCCAGAGTCTTTGGGGATACCCTAAGTATGAAAATTAGGTGAATTAAAATAAAACACAAATGCCTTTCATTGATCACAATAATAATCTAAGGAATTAATCCTTGGGAGAGAAAAAAAGACCTATCAAGAACATATTTGCTACTTACAACACAATGATTTATGGAAACTGTCATTCCAAAAGATGTTGGTCTTCCTTAGGAAATGAATTACCTAAGAAAATCACAAATAAACAGCCAGGCTCTAATGGGATTTGATACAGCCCATTTTGATGCTGCTAAAACTTCTGTTTTCATTGTGCCAGATACCAAGAATTCTGAAGCAGACTGAAATTGCTCTTTCAAATTTATAAAGTTCAAACAAAATAATACAATTTTTGTTTATTCTCAGTGCTTTCACTGAAGAGGAATTCTAGAATGTACAAATAGAAAAGGAATTCTTGGCTAGCAGTCTGATACAAGAGAAATCTTCCAGAAACACATAGCCTGGGAAATTTCAGACTCCTGGCAGATTGCAAACCTTTACTGCCTTTTATTAATAATCAGGATCCAGATCAAATGCCTGTAAGGAGCCAACACCTACTTATGAGGCTAGAGTTTAGTGCAGAAGTTGAACATCTTCCAACAAACACTCTCATAATACCAGACATCTTCTCCAGACACAAACTTATTCTGGTCAGCACAAATGTCATTGACTAAGGAGACACTGAAATGTATGGCCAGTGTTCTCTAGAAAATAGAACTAAGGTTCATCCATGTCCCTACAAAGGACACGAACTTATCGTTTTTTATGGCTGCATAGTATTGATAAGGAATTATTTTTAAATGTTCAATCCACAAGTAGTAGAGAAACAAGGAAAAAGGAACAAAGAACAGATGGGACAAATACAAAACAAATAGTAGGAAGATAGAGTTAAACCCAGCTATGTCAATAATTATGTTAAGTGTAAATGGTCCAAAAACCCATTTAAAAGTTGGATATTGTCCAGTGCAATTTTAAAAAGTAAGCATATACCATTGCTTATGGGAAATTTACTTTTTCGTTTTATTTTGTTTTGGAAATTTACTTTAAATATAAAGACACAAGTAAGTTAAATGTAAAGGTGGGAAAATGTATACTATGCTAACACTAGTCAAAAGAAACCAACTGTATCCATTATACCTCAATAAAGCTAGAAAAAGGAGAAAAAAAAAGAAAATAGAACTAAGAAGGTTCTTTAGTAATAAACATGAAAAACATGTTCAATGGCAGTTTTATTCTATAGACATGCTGCAATCTAGAATGATTTGCATCACAGCCAAAACATCTGTCTTATGGTTGCCTATATGATCATAAATTAAGAGAGTGTACCATATAATATCATTGCTATTAGAAAATGCAAATATGTTAGAGGTGCAGCTGTGGAAAGAATTTCAGAATCACAAGGAGACTAAAGTACTAGCACCTAAACCTACACAGATTAAAAACACTCTCTCTCATTCCTGCCTGTGTTCTGTATCTCCTTAGTGGTGAAACACTGGGATAGAACATGAAATATGTCTTTGGATATTACCATTACCTGTCTATCCCAATCACGGCTTGTTCACGTTTGAACGGATACAAGAAACAAGAACGTCCTCACAGCAGTAAAAATTTACCAATATAATGAGACTAATCCACAAACGGCTGTTTATGAAAGAAACAGCAAAACACCCATAAAGCAAAGGCAGAAAAGTATTGTTGCTATGGAGTGTTGTTTTATCAAAGTTTTAGTTCAGGTAAGGGAAAGGAGTGAATGGGGATGAAACATATAAAGGGACCATAGAACATAGCCTTTTCCCAGCAGACAGGGACACTCCGCTATAAAGTTCTCTTCCCAATTATGGCAAAGATTCTGATAAAAATCCTTCAGGAAAGCAAGAAGAGCTTGCTTGTAAAAGAATGGCACACCTCCTAACAGTCTAGCATTTGCAGAGACAGAGATGTGTATATTATCAAATAGGGTAGAATTTGCTAGAGCTGAAATAACGTCCATTTTATAAGATTTTACTTTAAAAGACAGATTTTTGAACCCCTGCAGAATCTGCAATGTCTTTGCAATTAGTCAGTTAGTCTCGATGCAAGGAAGTGACGAGTTGTGTGAAAGGAAAAAGGATCAAATAGATAATTCAGACACAAGGCAGTTACAAAGGGAAGAATCCAGACAGACAAAAACAGACTCCTTATTCATTCCTGTCTATGATGTCTCTACTTCCTTAGTGATAAAAGAGAGATAGGAAAAAAACCTCGTTGTATTTATAATTGTGTGCCATTTTAGTTTATTTTCTGTTGATAACCATAAGGTATAGCTACATTTGCACCATTAGTAAATTTGATATAGTTAAGTCTAGAGTCAGAGTTCGGCTATCTCATAGTAACCCTTTTTGTTCAAGTCTCAATTTAAAATAATCTACTAAAGTTTGTTAAAGGATAATATCAAATTTGGATGGTACAACTCACTTTTGTAGTAAACTGCAGAAGCCCAGAATAGGCAAGCAGGTTAAATAGGAAAATAACAAAACAAATTCACTGTCTGATAGTATAGAATATGAGAAAATGAAAGACAAGAGAAAAAACACTCACACATACACATAAAGTTACAAGCAAGCTATGCTGAGAATCACATAGAAATGTTTCCAATTTAAGAGAAGTCTACTCAGGTTACTTAATTTTGCTTTAGCTCTCACAATTACTTATGATTTTCCAGGGCAGAAAATGCAAGTGGATGTAACTATCATAGGATATGAAGGGTTTACCTAAGAGTAGTTTTCTGCTATAATATAATTCAGATTTTGAATCTTATATTTCTTAAATTTTCAGGGCATTTGAAAATCTAAAAACAAAAAACAAACAAAAAACCCTTCTGCAGATAAAATGAATTAAAAGCTGTATTTTTGCAGGTACCTGTTTTTCTCCGCTAGGTTTTTTGTGGTTCAACAACAGCTCAACAGCTCCGACGACTTCTTTTCTGATAGCATGCAACAGAGCATCTCCAACATAGACGTTAAAGCTTAAGAGTAGTTCGATGAGCTCCAAGTTCTCATTTTCAATGGCAATGAGGAGAGCAGTTCTTCCGAGAGGATCAATGCAATTAATATTGATTTTAAAATAAATTTCAGCTTCCTCTAGCGATTTCTTGACACTGGCATAATCTCCCTTTTCCACAGCATTCAAGTAGGCTTTTTCTGATGGTGAGAGTTCGGATTCTGCTCTTACTATCCTTAGTGGAATGCGATCTCTATAGGGAGCATTAACATTTCTTTTGTAATAGAATTGAGCCATGTTTCATGCCATGCTATTTCTTTGTCTCTGAAAGTAGAAACACAAAACACAAAGATTAGTGTTAATATGCTTTTAAAATTGTTAAGCATCATACTTCTTTTCCATCTCACAGTGATATCAATAACAACAATACCATTATTAGTAACTATTAAGTGTTAAGGTTTTTTCTTAAACAATAGAAACACTAAATAGCTATTCAATTATGTTGAAACAAATTCTTCTTCTAAGATAAACAAAAAGAAGTTAACATTTGGTAAACTATTATAAAAGTTATTCTAAAAGTGAATTTTATCAGAGAATGCATTTAGAGTTTTGGAAATTATTTACAAAGTTTATAATAAGTATATAAACTTTTCAGAAAATCACTTTGAAAATCAGAGGCCATATTTTTGAGATCTCAAAACTAGACCAAGGATATTCAAATATATCATTCTTTGTCAATTTTGCTAATTGTGGAAATGCTATTGAGATTATGTAATACCATTATATTTGCAAAATATTGTTAATTTGTCTTTTTTTTTTTTTTTTTTTTGGTAGAGTCAGAGTTTTGCCATGTTGCCCAGGCTAGTCTTGAACTCCTGGGCTCGAGAGATCCATCTGCTTTGGCCTCCCAAAGTGCCAGAATTACAGGCATAAGCCACTGTGCCCTGCCTCCTATACTTAATGCTAATAAGTACTGACATCAAAGTTAATGTAAATTAACAACATTAATGTCAAACACTGAGCCCAGTGAACATAATTATATATTTTTTCTCTCCGTGAGTTCATTGACGGGGAAAAATGTGTGCTGATAATATTAATCATCAAGATGAGTCTAAGCAGTTCAATTTCCAAAAGAATAATTGGAAAGGATTAAATGGAGAGATAATTTATCATAAAAATGCTATTGTCTTCATTCTACTGCCTTTATAAAATAATAAACCACAAGGCAGGAATATATTTATTATAAAATTTATTATTTGGAAGTTAGAGTAAGGACATAGTTGAATATGAGAAAATTAATTCAAATAAATGAAAGTTTCTCTTACAATAAATTAACAAAGGTGCTGGAAAGTATGTTGATCTAGTATCATCCTAGTGGTAGAGATTCATAGAAAAAAGTATTACATCTTGAGTATGATTTATTCATTGCTGTTAGTTCCTCATACTTATTATCTAAATTATTTTTCTATGTTATTTAAATTGAACTCACATATTTATTTGCATATGTTTGCTCTGCAAAATTAAAATGAAATTAAAATATTTAGGGTATTCTAAGTACTTAAACATGCATATTCTTTTTAATTGATCTTTTTATCCCTAATCATTTTATGAGTAAATTAATTTGACTTGAATAATGTTTTAACCATAGATTAAACACGTATTACATTAACAAACATGATTATATTTAATAATATTGTCATTTTGGGAAATTTTACATAATTTGTAAATTACCTCAATTTATTAATAATTTTAATTATCAAGGAATTAAGTTTTACCCTTTGACATCCAGATAATTTGTCATAATTTCTCAAATATCTAGGTGTAAGAACTAATAAGAGAAACTATTGTTTTATAATTTGTACCTGTCTGGCATGTTAAACATTAGTATTTTGTAAAGATACCTTCACAGACCAAGCAAAAAGTGAGTGTTCAATATGTATTAATTTTAGATGTGCAAATTACTTACTTGAAGCCTGATTGTAACCTCACTATTTTGGGATGCTTTAACTCACTCTAGAATAACAGGGATAGCATTTATATTATAGAATAACAAGGACAATTTAATATTCCTCCAATATCACTAAAACTTGAGTAAATCAATATGACTGTGATTCTATCTATGTCATTGTAATTATCTGAACCTGAATGCTCCCATTTTCTGCATCAGTGATGCCATTACAATGTTGGCCTTGGAGAAAGGTGGCTGACACTCCCTTCCTCAGCACCTTTTTTCTCAGTCCCAGGTCAGAGTCTGATCAATGCCATGACCTTCACCTTGTAATTTTATCAAGACTAACGCCTAAATGCTTCATGATGATAATGACAGGTATTTATATTCGATTTCAGCATTACACATATTCTTTATAATCTCACTTCTTTATTATCCATGACTCTTGGAAAAATATATAAACTTTTATTTTGGAGTTGAGTTTAAGTTTTCCTACCAATAATATTTTTAGCTTGAGACCAGTGTTTGAATGTAGCTCACCCAAAAGGCTAATTAAAATGAAAATACACACCGCTTACACACATGCATGCATACATCAGTTCTGCATGTGAATTATGATTCAATCACAATTAAGAATCATGCTAGAGAATAAAAAAAATTTATTTTATTTTTTATTGAGTTAATTTTATTAATAATGCTACCAAATAAAAAATTAGGTGAAGAACAGCATTTTATTTCTCATTGTCAAAGTACAGAATGTCAGTGACAATAGGAACTAGTGGACAAAACAGAAGCTACTGGAGAACTTGGAGGAAAAGGGAAGAAAAAAATAAATTAAGCTTATTAATATCTATTTCATTTAATCCAGATAACTGCTATAAACGTAAACCACATAAGTTCATTTTAAGAAGAGTGACACTACATAAAAAAGAGATATATTTTAGTCAACACTATACTTAAGAGATGAAGGGCGTATGAAATATTTGCATTAGGTAATCTATTTCTTTATTCATAAAGTGATGAAGTCAACACTTACCAAAAAAACAGGCAAGAAGATAAGAACCAAAGCATTAGTGCTGAGAAATATATTTTATTAACTTTTATGACCTCTTTCAGTCTTTTCGATTTGAAGAAAATAGGTAAGAATTTATTTTAGGAAGACGATACATATTTTAAGTACATTTAAAATGTAAATACTTTAAGTAAAATTTAAATATTTACAATTGAATCTTAAAACACAGGGAGAAACACACACATGCATACACACACACACACACACACACACACACACAGAGAGGAGAGAGAGAGAGAGAGAGAGAGAGAGAGAGAGAAATGGGCAGACTTTGATGGTTAAAACCTTAGCATAAAAGATTATATAATTTTTCAGCACATAGATTTGTCCTTCTTGATTACTTGGGATGCAAGGATACTAACTGGAGGACAAAAAAATCAAGTTTAACATTTTAAACTGTGCTATATGAATGCAATAGCAAGTGGCAGGCGCTGATAAGGCTGATGGAATCTCTCAGCTGACACACTTATCAGCTATGGAATTGCTACTTGATAGAAAGGCTGTTAAAGAACATGAGACCAAGTATTGCAAATATGTTGACCTATAATGTCAAAATAAAAGATTGTTCCTGGTCCTCCACTTTTAGAATGAATTTTGGAGGGGAAATTATTTCTCCCCCCATGAGATTGCAGAATTTTAAGAATCCTTTCATTTCAGTGTCTCCTGCATAACACCAGAAGTGAAATGACTGATCGGTCAAATTATATTTAGAAGATTTGGAAAAGAGATGAGGAGTTATGGGGAAAAAACTCAACTTCTGAGATGTGACTTTTTGAATAAACTAAAATTTATTTCCTCTCAATGTGTTGAGGATTAAAAACAAAAATAGAAGAATGTAGAGAGAGCTACAACTTGACATTGATCCAAAAAGAAATCAAAATTGTCACTAAATCTGAAACTACAGTTTTCTAAGCAACATAAATATATACAACAAAAAATGTTAAGTTATTTATGTGCATCTGAAGGCATAGTGCCTAAAGGACAAGCTTAGTTGTATAGCGGAAAGAGCAGTGAATTTGAATTCCAAAGAACACAAAGGAAAGGAATATTTAATATATTCAGATCTCCATTCCTTAGTATATATTACTAAAGGGGAAATGAATTTCCCCAAACAACATTTTCTTTTCTTCCCTAGTTGACTGTGCAAAGATACATGTTTACAGGTGTGATCCCAAGACACAGTAAGAAACAACTCCTATTTGTTATTAAGATACTATCACACATACGTAAGTTGCATCTGTACTTTGTCTGGAATCTAATATGAAATACTGTTTTCCCAAATAATGCATTCAGACTCCATCCAATTAGAATTTTTTCTTGATGTTGTATGTATTATCTCAATAATCTTTCACATAATATACTCCATATAAAAGCATAATGCTCTGATTTTTGCTATGACTCTGAATTCCAGACCCTTTCCTAATTTCCTTAGGCAAGAAACAATACATATGTTTCAGCAGCTGCAAGTCTTACATAAAAAGTATTGCATATTGACTGAAATGATTTATGATTTAGTCCAGTCAAAATTTAACAAAAATTTTCTCTTGTTTTGATGTGGTCAAAGCACAATGAACTACTAAATTTCTTTCAAAAGTTTTAGAGACATTTCTGTAAACCATGAGCTAAGGTTATATTACTCAACAACAACAACAAAAGTACTTTACTAAAATATTTTGACATTTTATCCTAGGATTTTGAAGATGAAAATCAAGATTATACTTATTTTCAAAATTCAAGCCCCTTGGATTTAACAAGTGCCACCTAAAAATCTAAACTCTATCTCCATTTTAATTTCTTTTAAATTTTATTTTCTCATCTTCTTTGTGATGGTATATTCCCATTTTTAAAATACACATATTGAGGGAAATGGTATAGGCAGGGCAAAAAATGTTATTTAGCTGGATTTTTACCTCATGGGATTTAGAAAACATATGTTCAAAAAATAATATGTAGTAGTCAAAGTTTGAAACTCTACCCTGAGAGTTAGAAAATATGCATCAATCCATTACTCTTTTTTTCCTCTGAATTCAAAGGAAAAGATGTTCTTTCCTCATTCTAGCAGCTAATCTTGATGTCTGAGCGTCCATCCATTCCCATTTCTCTATATTTAACACCAGCCTTCACCCTGTTTCATACCTGAAGGCTCTTTCTGCAAACCGTCTTCTCTTCACACCACAAATCTACTTAATTGTTGTTATTTTTAAATTGTAATTATCTTTGGTAATTCTCTCTGTTCTAGCTCAGATTTTCTTGATTTTATAAACTTTAAGCTCATCTTCCATTTACTCATTTATTCTCTCTAAC